CTGAGCCTGAAAACAACCTCCGAGCAGGAAGCTACCAAAATGAACATTTAAAGTTTTTTCAGAGGATGTGAATCATGAAGGAAGACTTTTAAAAAAATATTATCCATCATCCAACAGTGATCGTCTCCCTGCACACAAATGTTTCACCCAAACACCTCCATCGCCTCCATCACCAGGAAACACTTCACTTAGCTCCGCCCACAACCACTTCTATACCCAAGACAACACATTCAGCTTGAAGCTTCTCCCATTAAATTATCCCTTCCTGCCTTCAAATGGCTCAGATGTCACTCTTCACTGAAGGAGAATAAAGATGCAGAAGGTCTGACAGGTTTGGTTCCTTTGGTCTGAGACATCTGAAACCTCGGACGTCTGAATCCGTGTTTCTAAGAAGGTCATTGGTGCAGTTTAAATGTGGAATATGACGGCTTTGAAAGCTGTGTTGGGATTATTGTCACCAAACTACAAATAGTAACTGGTCTGCACTTATAAAGCTCTTTTCTACTTTAGCAGCACTCAGAGTGCTTTGCAGTGTTTCTCATTCATTCATCCACCAACGGCCACAGAGCTCCATGAAAGCTGCTGCTGCCATCAGGAGCAGCTTCAGGTTCAGCGTCTTGCTCAAGGACACTGTGGAGGGGATGGAACCACCAACCTTATGATCAGAGGACAGCCTGCTCTACCTCCTGAGCCACAGCCGCCCTTAAAACAAAGCAAAGCGATGATTTCATTGGTCCGTCTGCTGGTTTCTTTACAGGGTTGTTGAGAGTCTTCATCAGCCAACAGAAGCAGCTCGATGATGCTCAGAACATTAAGGCAGTAACGTGATGCCAGAGAAGAGCAGGTTTTTATCCGACTGGAGCTGTTCGGGGGTTCTGACAGAAACATTACAAACTGTGACATGAAGAAGTGGAGCTGTTAAGCTGAACGCCGAGTTCTTGATTTACAGACACAAGACTTTGGCTGTTTGCTCGTTGCTCAGCGATTCTCTGCCTGCGTCTCTCTTTACTTCTGTTGCTCGGTGATTCTTCTGACTTCCGTTATTGGACCTCTGCCTGGTTTCACGTAGACTCTCGGCAGCGTTCTGTTTATTCCCCCGTTAGCCTCTGGTACCGTCATCAGTACGCTTCAGTGAAGCTGAGCTTTATCCTGTTAAACCTGAGTATTTGCTCCTGTGATCCATGTTTGGTTCTGAACTTTTTTTTTTTCTGCCATTTGGACCTTTGAAGGGAAAACGAGGATTTGCATTTAGAACCCGTTGGATTCGGTGTTTGGTTTCCTTCTGAGAACTTGCCACAGACGTAACGTATGACTTATGAAACTGTGTTGGGCAGCGTTTACAACCAAAGTGTCTCTGCTGAGCTCCAAACGCCACCGTCTGCATGAATCTCTTCAAGTTACAACAACTTTAATGAAACTGTTCAGTAAACATGCTGAGTCACAGGAAGCAGCGTTTTCTCCACAATAAAGTGCATTTTGAATTCACAGTCGGAAACAGTCCAGGAACGTTAAAACAACGGAGACCCGGAACCATGAAGGTTATCAGTCAATCTCGTTATGTTTCCTCAATCT